CGAGGAATCAGGAGATAATGTTCCATTTGAGGCATCATCTAGTGATGATGATTTTTTAATGCCCAATCGGTCACCAAGACCGATGTCCATGAGTCCGTTTCGTAATCATGAAATTCCTTATCTTGATCATCTCCTAGAAGGTTCAAATATCTTTGGCGATACACATGATGAATAAACATCACAACGTACGTGGGGTGAACCGGAAGATTTCATGAATGGTGCTATTTATATTGAAAAAGGCATGTTATTCAATTCAAAGAAGCAATTGCAGAGAGCAGTTAAGCTTTTACATTTAAAGATAGCGAGGGAGTACTTTGTTATTAAATCGACAAAGAAATCATGGCGACTTGTTTGCAGGCGTGTAGAACAAGGATGTCGATTTAGGCTAACTTCTTTTAATGATAAACATACTAACATGTGGAAAGTTGGAAGATACATTAAAGAACATACATGTGATATGGGTACGTGCCGCGATGGACTAAAAAACTTGGATGTTGATATGATTGCTAACGTCCTCCGTGTTGATATAGAAAAAACGCCAAGGTACTATTTTATCCTTAGATGATTTTTCTTTAATAAGAAAATATTCATTTTTTATTTGATAATTAATATTATTTTTACTTTTCAGGTTTCCCATCAAAGACTGTCAAACAACCGTTCTTAAAGCATATGGGATTTTGATAAGCAGAAGAAAAGCATATCTAGGTCGCAAGCGTACTTTTGAAAAAGTCTATGGTACTTGGGAGGGTTCTTTTGCCGAGTTGCCGAGGTTCATGGAGGCTTTGAAACACTTCAATCCCGGAACAATAGTTGAATGGAAAACAAAGCGGCGTGTCGATGTCATTGAAGATGTATTCAATTATGTGTTCTGGACTTTTAAACCATGCATTGATTGGTTTGTGTTTTGTCGTCCTGTTATATCGATCGACAGAACACATGTCTATGGAAAATATGATATCTTGTTGATTGCGATTGCAACGGATGGTAACGGCTCAATATTACCTTTGGCATTTGCAATAGTTGCAAAGTGAGAGCATGAAGACATGAAGTTTATTTTTGGATCATTTGCACTTGCACGTTGTCAAGGGTCGTAGATGTGTGGCATTGATTTCAGATAGACATCATGGAATACTCTCATCCGTGTATAATTCTCCTAATTGGCAGACCCCATTTGGGTTCTATCGTTTTTGTTTAAGACATTTGAAGGCCAATTTTCAAAAAAAATTCAAAAATGTCAACTTTAAACAACCTTTTATGGGCAACTGCAAATCACTGTCAGGAGAAAAAGTTTTTGAAAAAAATGGAGATGATCAAGGAGATTAAACCCCGGAAGCGTATGTGTGGTTAATGAAAAACGATCTTGACAAATGGACATTGCACAGGGATGGAGGTAGGAGATGGGGCATGCTGACAACAAACAGTTTTGAGTCATTCAATGGTCTTCTTAAGTCAGCCAGGGGGCTGCCAGTTACTGGAATGGTAAGACTCACTTACAATCAGATTGTGAACCGATTTGTTACAAGATCAAAATTTGTCAATCAGCTAGTACTACAAAAGCAACAATGGATGCCTAAACCATTCAAAATGCCCGACAAAGTGCACGATACAAGTAGGTCAACACTGCACTGCCCCAACTGTACTTTACCTACGTAGTGGATATGATCTAGAAACGCCAAGTAGTGTAAGCTAATAAGGTTCCCCGACGTGTTTGGAAATAAGATGCCCCCCAATATAACAAGCATGTAAAGTCTAGGAATTTTCTCAACTAGTTCCACTGGAGTAGCATCTCCTATCGGATCTACTTGTAACTGATCTTGCAAGTAGCCGGTAATGCTATGTATCCTCACCCGGCTTGCACCATCCATATCAGCAGGTGCTATGGCTCATCTTGTGAGTGTCTCTAATAAAGTATGCCATGAACGAATCCTCTGTGCAGCATCCTGCATGTACACAACATCACCATCGATGCGCAAACCAACACTACAAAAAAAACTTGATTTAGCGACGGATTTTAGCTACAAAGAGATTTCCATCGCTAAATAGCGACGGATTAGCAACCAAATTTTAATTATGTCACTAATAAGGCAAAAATATATTTGACATCAAATTTAGCTACGGATTAACGACGGAAATATAAATCCGTCACTAAATTGTGGAGCTAAATTTTTGCGCTCTCATGCTAGCTACAAAAATTAGCAACAAAAATCATGCGACAAAACTTATTAAATGTTAGCTACGGAAGTAGTGACGGAATATCTGTCGCTAGTATATTTTATTAATTAAAATATTTTAATATTAGTTTCTAGAAAAATAAATTCTACTATTCTAGGGCACGGTGACTTCATTTTCTCGCTACTCTCGTTCTCATCATAAAAGCCTGAAATCATAAACACCATCGGTGTCTTTTTCGTTGCCACCTCTCCGACAAGTCGCTCCTCTCCAATGCTTGACCATCTCTAGCTGCTCATCCCTTAGTTTATAGGGTTTTAGAAGTCTTTATTTTCATCTCAGGTAAAGTGTATTTCTTTGCATTCGATTAGTTATTCTTTTATTCGAGTTTAATTTTAATCTCATCATCTTTTTTATTTCTAATATCAGAGTTTCGGTAATGTTCTCTAAGAATCTTCACTATTTTTACTTCGTAGAGTTGGAATTTGGGTAAGAACTCTATAGCTTAATCTTCGATCCGAGCAAAAAAGGTGCATAAATACGATTCTATTTTTTCATTTAAGCAATTTCTCTATTTATGGACATTACATGCTTCAGCTAACTCAGGTTTTCATTGTTTCCATCTATTTGGCATTTTTTTGTTTAATCAAAGTTAAATTTATGAAACACCCAAAGAACTTTTCAAAGGATTTAAAGCAAATCCGATCCCCAAAATTTGAAATTACAACCTATTCTTAGTGATTCTTATGGTAGTTTCCTTCGAGTTAGTGATTTTAATAGTAATTACTCACTGAGTTCCCTTCGAGTTAGTGATTCTTATAGTAATTACTCACTGAGTTTCCTTCGAGTTGAAAAAGATTGACTCATTGTTGCTATTATCCATGTCCTTCTTTAGAGTTGAAAATGATCAACTCGGATAGGCTAATCTATCAATTCACGTCTTCTTAGAAGAACTACAGCCTATTTGAACTTCATCCTTCATCAAGTTGTTATTCTCCGTCTATCTAATCCTCTCATTGTACTAACCTAAGGGCAAGTATTTTAGCTTAGAGAAGTGTATATTTTGTTCCACACTTTCAAGGAAAGTATGAATTACTATATTCTTGTATGTGATTTTTATTTGAAG